ATTGGAGGTGATGGGAGGAGACTTACATGTTACAGTGTAGGTGCAGAGTAGGCGCAAGCTAGGTGGCAGCCTTGAAGAAGGCATCTCTGCATGCATGTAACACGATTGGACATTAAGGGAGGCGCCATTGGACTTGGCAAAAGAGTATAAAAATGAAAGGTGTTGCCATCTCCATTGGCGAATAAGAGGTGGCACGGGTTGCAGAGTAGGCGCAGGCTAGGTGACAGCCTTGGAGAAGCCATGCATGAATGCATGTAACACTATTGGAGGTGATGGGAGGAGACTTACATGTTACAGTGTAGGTGTAGAGTAGGCGCAGGCTAGGTGGCAGCCTTGAAGAAGGCATCTCTGCATGCATGTAACACGATTGGACATTAAGGGATGCGCCATTGGACTTGGCAAAAGAGTACAAAAATGAAAGGTGTCGCCATCCCCATTGGCGAATAAGAGGTGGCACGGGTTACAGGGTAGGCGCAGGCTAGGTGACAGCCTTGGAGAAGCCATGCCTGAATGCATGTAACACTATTAGATGTGATGGGAGGAGACTTACATGTTACAGTGTAGGTGCAGAGTAGGCGCAGGCTAGGTGGAAGCCTTGGAGGTTACAACCTTACTTAATTCAAATTCAGTATGACCTATTTAGTCTTATATTTATCAAAACACTGATTCACTTAATCTGTCAAACCTTCCAACCTTCAAACCTTCATACAATCAAACCTTCAAACCTTCAAACAATCAAACATACAAACCTTCGAATAACTCATAAACTTCAAACCTTCCGACTTTCAAACCTTCAAACCTTCAAACAACCATACGCAATAACCTTTGCACCCCAATATGTCATCAATGCACATTTCAATAGTGAGACATACATTTGTCCCACCTCTGGGTTTTTGTTTAGAGACACAGACAACATCTGATTTCTTTTAAACGGGAAAGTCAATTTCTCGTACTTCAAAAAACGATTGGAGGCCAAACTTGGACGAGGCCCGGTGACACAAATATTTTATCAGAATCCAGTTTTTTTGGTAACAACCAAATAATATTTTATAAGGTTGAGGTTCAAGATGACGAGGATCTTCAGAATATGTTTTCTAGTCATGTGTATTCTGGGTACGAATCTATTGAGTTGTACATTATGCTGCGAGAGCCTCAGGTGACACAAGTGGTTGATCATTTGGAGACCGAACAAGCAGAGGTAGATGCAGTTGATAAAGAAGAAGAAGATGACGAGTTAGAGTTTGATGAAATGGTGAATGATGATTCCGAAGACGATGGGATACCTGGTATTCCTGCAAACGAGATCTACACACCACATCCGCACATGACAAACTTCAACATGGGCGGAGATAAACTGTCTTCTGATTTATTTTTCAATCTGTATATGCAGTCGGATGAAAACTTAAAAGAGAAGGACAAGTTTCGTAACAGAGAGGAATGCATCAGAGCCATAAAAAAATTCCACATGCTCAACTCGGTCGATTTTAAGGTGGACCGTGTCAACCCAGAAAGGTACAAGATCAAGTGTGTCCACCCTGATTGTATGTTCAAGCTCACTGCATCATACAGATTAAGAGGTGATTGTTGGGTCATAGGTTTTATGTCTACCCACACTTGTGTCAGTTCTACCCAATCATAGGACAATCGAAAACTTAATTACGATCTCATTTGTCAAGAAATCCTACCACTCGTCAGCAACGACCCATCTTTGAAGGTGAAAACCACCATCTCCCACATCACTACGGTTTTTAACTATACTCTGTCTTACCGTAAGGCGTGGTTAGCAAAGACCAAGGCAATTGAAAAGGTGTACGGAAACTGGGAGGAGTCATACCAAGAACTTCCTCGCTACCTGAATGCACTTAAGACTTATTCTCCGGGTACTGTTTACATTCTGAAAACAGTGCCAGCATACGCCCAAGATGGTAGTCAACTAAATGGAAACGGAATATTCAGTCGAGTGTTTTGGGCATTTCAACCTTGCATCACAGGGTTTGCATCATACAAACCAATTATACAAATTGATGGGACTTGGTTGTATGGGAAATACAAAGGCACGCTACTGATGGCAGTTGCACAAGATGGCAACAACAACATTTTCCCAATTGCATTTGCCCTAGTCGAGGGAGAGACCGGTGGTGCTTGAATCTTTTTTCTGAAAAACCTGCGAACACACGTGGCTCCTCAACCAGATCTCTGTTTGATCTCGGACATACATGCCTCCATTGAAAGTACCTACAATAATCCTGCAAACGGTTGGCATGACCCTCCTTCTACGCATGTCTATTGCGTTAGACATATCGTCCAAAATTTCACGAGGGAGATCAAGGACAAAACACTAAGGAAAGCGGTTATGAATGCGGGATATGCATTGACACAACCCACGTTCAAATATTACCGCAACGAGATCCGTTTGTCAAATCCGGAAGCCGGTAGGTGGATCGACAATATTCCGGTGGAAAAATGGACTAGGTCATACGACAATGGCCAAAGATGGGGGCACATGACAACAAATTTATTTGAATTGATGAATGGGGTATTCAAAGGCATACGAAACCTCCCGATCACTGCTTTGGTAAAATCTATGTATTTTAGGATGGCTTCGTTGTTTTCCAAAAGAGGTGAAATATGGAATGCGGTGTTGCAATCTGGACAACTATGGAGTGAAAGTTGCATGAAGTACATTAAGGCAGAAAGTGCCAAAGCCAACACTCATATGGTTATACGGTTTGACCGACACAGCCACAACTTTATTGTGAAAGAGACAATCGACCACAACGAAGGTCTGCCAAGACAAGAATATAGGGTTGTACTACCTTCTCATTGGTGCGATTGTGGCAAGTTTCAAGCCTTTCGTATGCCTTGCTCTCATGTCATTGCCACTTGTGCTTATACCCATCAAGACGGGCTACAACTTCTGTCACACATTTACAAATATGAAACGTTGCTCAACGTTTACAACAACAGCTTTCCTTTGGTAGCAAAACCAGATTATTGGTCTGCATACGACGGTGAAATAGTGTGGCACAATGACCAAATGCGAAGGAACAAGAAAGGTCGTCCCAAAAGTAAGCGCATCACAACCGAAATGGACGACCTTGACAAGCTGGAAAGAAAGTGTGGTTTATGTCGTCAGGTGAGACACAATCGCAAAAATTATCCGAATCGGACGTCTGCCTCGACCACATAAAAATTGTAATACATAAAATCTTTCCTTAATTATGTTGTAAACATTAGGATTTTTCGTTAACAGTATTTGCTACAATAAATATTGCGCGTACAAGAAAAAAACACGATATTTCGTCTAAGAAATTACAACTGTTAAAACAATTTCATCTAATCCATGTATCATCAACATTACGTCGCTGTCTGTTTTGACTTCCTCCAACCATACATTAGGTCTTCCAATCGTATGTGAGGTTGTTGTTTGTCTTCGCTGGATCCTTCGAATTTTCCCCCCTCCACAATGTCTCCATCTAGCCATCGCATCAACTCCCGCTTCAGACGCTCCATGGAGTGAATGTGCCAGAATTTCATTTTCATCGCAGGTTTCGTGGCGGAGAAGATAATGTAACCATCTTTGGTAAAAATCATGGGCGATGTCATGACGCAAATAACAGAGTAAAAAATAAGAAAACAGTGCGAGAAAGTGTGAGAAATGACGGAGAAACGGACAAATTATTTATAAAAATAGCATTTTGCCCTAGGAGCCAAGTGAGATGGCGCCTCCTCTCACTTTTAAAGTGCATGCGCCATCTCACTTGGCTAAAAGAGAGAGGAGGCGCCAAGTGAGATGGTGCCTAGGGCAAAAATGTTGGTGGAGGCGCCAAGTGAGATGGCTCCTCCTTTGGGGAGTCATCTGAAACATGATTATTTGCGTAATTTTTTCTGAAACGTGGTTATTTGCGGGAAAAAAATTTAATACCTGGTTATTCAAAAAAAAAATTCCCCATAATAATGCTTGAAGTAAATGTTTATTCTTTTCACTTGAGGGAGCTAGTGACAACTTGTTGGTCTTATATCCAAGTTAAGAGTCTTTCTTTCATGATGATGCAAAATCTATCTTCTCATATTTGTAATAAAATTAGTTGAGTATTCTCCTTAAGATGACGAAATGTCTCATCTCTTACAATCAATCACAAAAATTTCTTTTGTTATCTTTACCGCGAACTACAAGGTTTTTGTCGTTTATTGATACGGAAGTATAAGACTATGTCTTTCCAAACAAAAATATAATAAAACTTAGTTCTTTTCTCATCATCACACTCTTTTGCAAACAAACCAATTTTAACCAAAAAAACAGATAATTTCAAAAAATTCCTATAGAATACTATAGATACATAGAGTACTAATACATTTACTTTGTATAAACTAACCCCGTACCTTAGATCTATTTATGCTTTGCTTCTAGTTTTTTTTTTACTTCTTGCATTGAATGTTTAATATAGAATTTTGACTTTTACCCTTTTCTTTGAAAACAATAAAGTTCGGTGGTGACTTCTTAATTTTGCGAGTCAAATTTCTCAATAGTTTGGTCTCCGATTTTTCACAGCGACACTACCCCTATCTCGCGTGGACAAGAATATCTGCTCCTGCATCCATCATCCTGGCAGCACTCCATCCTGTGGGCAATTCCTGATAAAACTCGTTCTTATTGATTTCATCTCTAACTGCTGTTCAAGTTTTAGTCAAATTCCGCCTCATATTATTATGCATGTCTGGCTAGCATTAAAATTTAAAACCTATTAAGTATGCTACCCAAAGAAAAACTATAATCTCTCCAAAAACAAGATCAAGACAATAAAAACTGCAACAAAATAATGTATGTAAAGATAATAAATATGCTTTTAAGGAACCGGGTGCTTTAGGCGGAAGGAAACTGAAAATGATCAAGAGATCAAGGGAGAAATGAAAAAACAAACAGAAGATTCCATTCAACTTTTGTATGTCAGTTTATTCCTTCAAGCTAAACATCTATTAAGCAACATAAAGAGGTAAAGTTATACATTTGGTGGTGGCCAAATCTTCCCGAATAAATCTTCCACCCGCTTTGCTTGATCGGCATAACCATCCAGCCCAGAAGTCAGAAGCTGCACTGCTGCTGGTCCCATGGCATTTGCAAGGCTCATTTGATCCCATTTAATAAGCTGAATATAAGTAAGCATTACTATAATTTAGAAAACAAGAATGATATTCTACTAAAGAGTTCTCTGACTGAAGACTGTTGAGATTAACAACAAAAAAGGAACAACCATAAGAATGGCATTACTGCCCATCATTAATGGAAGCAGTGATAAGTTGCTAACATGTTCTATTACATTGTCAAAGGTAGAAAATAGAAATCTTATTTTGCGAGATTAAATAAGAAATTTCTTCTATATATTAAAAGCTGAAATCATACCTCTTCGTCACTAAATGTGTATCTGCTAGCAGACTGAGGTGATAGCCTCCTAACAAAAGAATACTTCTCCTCAGGAGAAGCAACAGATTCTTTGAGAGACTGCAACACCTTTAAGGGAGCTATGATGTAATCAACCCTGGACAAGGAACAATGTAAAAAAACAAAAAATTAATATTGTATTACATAAGGAATTAAGTTGGATATGACTGTATGGAAGTCTTTTCATACCCCAGAAGACTAAATAAGTCCTGCTTGTTGCGAACTGCTGCTGCCATCAACTTTGACTTGTGTCCATATTTGTGAATATAATTGTAAGCCTTTGTGACCTGAAATCATAACAATATTATGCTTTCAGGTATAAGCTTTATCAGTACTTAACATAACTTTTTCTATCCTAGGTTTTTATTCTTGTCTGAAGCAAGATGGATCCCACACCAACTTTACTCACTTATACTAGACCAAAAAATGTAGCATATCTCTATTTCTAAGTTTCCATGAAGAATTTCTTTATTAGTTTTTTTTCACAAAGCAAAATCTAAATTCTAATCACAGACTAAGAACATTAGTGGATGAGCTGTTTGGAACAACAGACCAATGCCAATCCGGGATCCTCTCCCCTCAGCTTGGCAGCTTCTATCTCTTCATCGTCAGAATGAGTACGTGCCCAGTCCTAAAAAATGACAGTTCAAATAAGATTCCTAAAAAAATGTTATTTGACTCACATCAATCAAATATAAATAGCAATTACCCTGACGCGACCAACAAAAATTTGAATCACAGATGCACCAGCTTGAGCAGCAGCTGCAGCTTGGGCAAAGCTGTAGAACAAAATAAGTCCATAAAATGATTAGTAGTGGATATAATGGGGATGGTTTCTCTCAAAGTAAAATTTCATGTGACAGTATCACAAGTTTTGTATCTCTCTTCATAAGTATTCACAAGCTTTTATAGGATCTCGTCTATTGAATGTTCGTGAAGAAACAAAGATGAAAACAGTTTTTACTATGGCAAAGTCATGTGAAATTTTTAACACAACAATTCATTTCCTCAATAAATACAAATAGCTTAGAACAATTAATTACCAATGCAATATAATAAACATATCTAACTGGAGATTATCATTGCAATAGAATAAAGATACCAGGTTAGAGATTATATCCGAAATGGTCGCCCATTTGGGGTCAAAAAAAGCAAAACATGTACATATTATTTTACTTCTCGTATAAATCATGGTGTTTAGAAATAATGTATGGAAAGTTTGAGAAGCATTCCAGAGAGAAAACATTTTGTAAAAAATGATAGACCAGAGCCTTTAAGCAATGTGCATGCTGGATATATATATATATATATATATATATATATATATATATATATATATATATAGCAAAGTACACAGCAGATATGACATCCTTCCTGTATAAATCTTCTTTCAAATATTCAGGAAAAACAACCTGTAAACGAAAGTCAAATGTGTCTGTATGCCCTCGGATTCAAGCAATCGTGCAGCCTCTATTCCCTAAATAAAAAACAAACAACTCATGAGTGTAAAAAGTATAGCACCAAAGATTTCGAATTCATCTGGGACTGCCATTCCTCTTTTCCAAATCACTCACTTGCCATGTTGAAGGAATTTTAAATAGCAGACGTTCATGAGGGACATTACTGTCATTGTACAACTTCAACAGGTCATGCACCTGTAAAATTGATAAGCACAAGACAATGTAGTTTGTTAAGAATTGAGGATTCAAAAACTGTGAAGATTGTTACTAAACAGATTAACAACTACATGGTGTCAAGAACTACAAATAGTGTACACACTTCAGAACTTATCTTCTTAATTTGAGGATTTTTCACGTAATGACACACGATAAACTGAAAACAATGCTTGGCCAAAATCTAGTACCAAAGTCATAACTGTTTGCATAACACTTACTCACGACTGAGGTAGACAACTTTATATGAACTTTGTAAATCTGAAACATTAGACGAAATTCGATTTGACAACTCTAGGCATTGAGCCACCAAAAGTCCTCAACATGATAACCTCATGTTCAAGATGTGTAGCAATATAAATTTATCATGAAGTACCTTCCTGATAATGCCTTGTGTGTCATAAGCAAGACGTGCATCCACTTCTGTTGAAACACGGCCAGGGACAAGCTTTGCCATGTCACTACCAACGTTCACCAAAGCCTACTTTCAACATCAGATTCATGAAACAGAAACTGTAACTAGTTAATTGCCACCAAAAAATTTATATGATAATTAAAGACAGTTATGTATTCTCAAGTATGAAGCATGACATGATTGAAAAAAGGAAATACCTTGGTGGCAAAACAAGATAGTCTTGCATTAGGAATTTCAAGCCCGTAACATTCAGAATCAGCCAAAGCCATTTCCACAGCATTCTACAAGAAGAATTATTAAAATAAAGTAACCCACTTACACTTTTAGGTTTTTATATCGAGTCAGACTCAGAATTATAAAATTGGCTTGTAACCCGCTATTATAAATTACTTTCTGGTCTAATATATTTTCAAAATGAGATTGAAATATTTCCAATACGCCCGGTACTATTGGGTTTGATGTGTGGTCCAATGATATGCTCTACTGCTACATTATATTTTTGTATTGAGGCTAAAAGCTTATTTGAGCTTATTTATTGGCATAAACAAGGGTGAGACTGTTTGAAAGAACTTATGAATTGAAAGTACTTATGGAAACAGTTAATGACATGCTCTTAAACTCTTTTCAGCTTATTTTTACATGTTCTCCAAGAAAGATAGTGAAAACAAATTATAACTTATACACAAACTATTTAACTTTATTATTATGATAAATGCTTATGCAATAAGTTCCAAATAAAATATTTCACCAAAGAGGCCTAAATCCATAGTTGTCAAGATCTCGATCTATATCTTAAAATCTTATGATTTTGTCATCTCACTCACCCCAAACGATCACGATCTTAGGTAGAATCATGTGTTCTAGCCAAATTATGGTGGTGTCCGGAAAATGGGCGAAATTGCATTGAATTGATGATAGAAGGATGACAATATGAGTAGGCACAACAATTACGTGCCTTTGAAATGGTGAAGTTTTAGTTTTAGGGTCTAGAGAATAATCATCCGAGTTGTAGTGTTTGTTTTAAATAATGGACTTATAATAATGAAATAATTGTGTCGAACGACTAACAAGTCTTTCATGTGGTAGTAATGAAGCAAAAAACCTCGATCATACATGTATAAAAATATGAAAAGGGTCATTTTTCTGAGTAGAATATTCTGGTTTTTATTACGATCTTATACTTTACAATTTTGCATCCCCTCTCAATCTTTAAAAAAAAGGATATTGATATTCAAAGTAGAAAGAGGTGAACTGACCCTAAAAATAGTATCTGGAAGACCGCATATCCCCAAAATAAGCGAAGAACTGACAGTAGCAGCAGTTGGAGGAAACCTGTAGAGTGCAAAGTACTTCACACATCAGATCATTCATTCAAATTCCGTGGAATTAAACACAAACAAATTTTCAAGAAAATAAAATAAAATAAAAAAGATACTTTTGGAAATCATCGAAAATAACAGTATCTGGAACGATCTCGCTGAAGTTGGAAACAGCGTCCAGTTCAGTGATAAGAGTATCGGCGGAGGAAGCGCGAATTCGAGGGAAGGAGTTTTTGAAGTCGAAGAGGAGAGATTGAGGCGGTGTGGGACGGAGGAAGGAGAGGGATGTTGTTGTGTGGATGGAAGATGAGGATGCAGGAGAGGAGAGAGATGCATAGAGCGGAGTTTGCAAGGTAGCTGCCATTTCTGGAATTTTTTTTTAAAAGATAAACACGGTGCTAACTCTCACACACTTAAGAGCTGGTTACAATTTCAGAACTGGGATTAACGTCTTAGTAATAAATACTCAATTTTTTGTCAACTAATCTTCATAATTATTTTTTTTTCTGATCACAATTATAAATCAAAATAACTATTTTTTTATCAATTAAATTAATTAATTAAGTATAATTAATTTTCTTAATTTCATTTCTAATTAAAATAAAATTTATTATAATATCATTAGTTATATTTGATTAATATTGAATATTAATAAAGAGTATAATATTAATAGAAATATTAATTAGTCTACAATTTAATGACTTTTGTTTTATAATAGTGATCAAGATTTAGAGTTTTTTTTTTATAGTACATATTACTCACAGTAGTTGATGTTTCTACTCACTTACTATTGGGATATTCGTACGTTCGTACGGGTACTAATATAGTATATACATTTGTTTCTAAAATATTATAAAAGTAAAATAATTTTTTTAAAAAAAATAATAAATCAGTATCTATAATTGTTTCAATATATAAAAATATTTAAATCAATAACATATATATTTGATAAGTAACTTCATTTTCCCGTTATTATTTAATATTTTGATGAATAATTTTATTTTCCGTTATTATTTAATATTTTAATCAATAATTTAATATTTTCGTTAATATTCAATATTTTAATCAGTAAATTTATGTTCCCGTTAATATTAAACATTTTGATTAATAACTTCAAAATAAAAATATTAGTAATATAATAACTAAAAAATATTTTACGCGTACTACATCAGTACTCGTGTGTTCACACAAATATTAGAGTGATATGTTAAATTGTCGTAAATTACTTACAAATAAATCATTATGATGAAATAAAAAATAATAATTTATTAATTGTTCTTAATTAAAATAATTTATTATTTTTAAAAGAGATAATAAATCAGTTTGTATAATTTCTTAAATATATAAAAATATTTAAATTAATAATATAATTATCCTTTTATATAAATATTGTTGTTTTAGAATTATTTATAAAAAATATTTAAATCATTAATAAAAAAAAAATTTGAGTTTGAACCATTGTGGAAAATATTTTAAATATTTAAGTAAATAGAACTTTTTTAAATGTTGTTTTAGAAGATATTATTGTCATTTAAAATTAATCATTTTTTCATTTACTATTTCACCAAATTAAAGTTTAAAAGGAATACATTGTATTCTCAATTAATTCGTTAAATTTTTTAAGTTTTGAATACATTTTAATTTATGAATAATTCTATACAACTTTTAATGACAGAAAAATAAAAATTTCCATTCTTTTATTATTTTCATGAGGTTTGATGAAGTTATTTGTAGCAACTTTGTGAAAAGGATATCACTAAAGGTAATGGATACATTGGTCTAAGACTTGTGTGAATTATATGATTTGATAGTTTCATCATAAATTATCTGAGACAGAAAAGAAAATTAATTTTCATGTTTTGTTCATAGAATATGAAATTTAGTTAGTAATTTAATTTTAATCATTAAATTTAAATAGATCATATTATGAAAAAGAAAAATAATAGATTTTATTAAACTAAAATTTTAGCCTACTTAATTTCAAAGTTACAATATTTATTTTAAGACATTTTTAAGTTTATTTTAGAACACAACTATTATTGACAACTTAAACATGATTAGAATCATATGTAATACTTAGCATATATGACAGAGAGATAATACATAAAGTATATATTAAAAACTTAATAAAATCTACAAATACTACATCTAATCAAATAAATTGGAACTCTTTCTCTATTTACCAATTTTATACATAACTACATATGAGGTAACATCCATCCAATTCGTGAAAAATCTACCAAAAGAACCGTAACAAAACAAAAAAATAAAAACCAGAATCCACATTTGGAAAACAAATAAGATTTAGGTAAATAATTAAGAATTATATATATATTGATAAAAAAAATTGAATGCATGCACATCTTAGCAATTGGATGTAATATATCAGCTACAATTGAACACGGATAGTGCTTAGCAATAGAAATATATGATTTTCCTAATACCATCTCAATCAGGCCTATTATGTTTTGAAAGAAATGTCACTCTTTGTACATTACTTTTAGCTCTTCTCTTAGTCCTTTCTCACAAGCACTTTTCAAACCTGCTCCAACTCCAAACCAAACTGGAAGAACAAATCTTGTTTGTGTCCATGCAAATATCCATGGAATCGCACGAAGGTGTTCAATTCCTGTTGTTGCCTTTCTCCTTGTCGATTGGCTACCTATGTTCAGGAATCCAATCTAACTTCACGGCCTCAGATACGTGAAAGCCAACACCTCAACAGTCTGAATAAAGAAAACTAAAAAATGAATGTACGTTAACCATTACCCTATCAGCAGTTCAATAGTTCAAATGTTATTCCACTTCCATATGACCATCTTTAATAAAACAACACACTAGCAGTCCCTTACGAGTGCTCTTCTAGGCTCTAGCCATACTCCAAAATACTAACAGAAACATAGATTAATATTATGCATTTCAGACATCTTTTATAAATATGGAATATGGGACTTAAAATCATCCTTTTAGGCTTGGGAAATAATTAAGGCTAAAGATGCATAATCCGCCATCATAGAGTCAGGTGGCTGGGACTGAATAGCCATATATGTTAGGCCTCTGCCACGACCAATACTTCCTCTACGACCATGATTAGTGGTGTTTGAAACTCGATTTTCATAAAGTGAATTGTAATGAACCTCAAACCAGAAGCTTAACCACACTTCTGCATTATTCAGGAAATAAATCAGTATCTTTTCGAGGAATGCAATGGTAATTTAACAGAATATGGAACAATGGTGAAGTCTTACCCCACTGTGGTGTTTGGTACAGTGGCATAATTTCTATGAAACAAGCATCTCTGAATGATGTCAGAAGGCATATCTTGGCTACAAACTACATTAAAAAAAAAGTTATGTCATATTTTGACAGTAATATACAACAAATGACATCGCAGTATAATAAATATAATAGAACCTTAGTAAGATAGTTCCACAAGTAGAACAAATCAAATTGAACTCTCGAATCATATTTAAAAACATGATATTTAGCATTAAATCATAGGACAGTTTTCCAAGTCCTTAAATCTGACAAATAAAACTTATATAATTGCTAACATTCTTAGTTATGTAAGACTCACAAGTCAACAAAATGGAAACTCGAATCTACACTTTGTTCCCAAATCTAATCAATTAGGATGTAGATGCAAAAGTTTGATTTGTTACGATCAGTGATCTGCAATTTAACGTCTATAGACATCAAAAGTATCATAGAAATTTTAACCCGGGAGAATAGTATTTTTTATGGCAATCCATACCTTTACACTTGGTAGACGACATTCTCAACTTACCTACAAATTTCCTATCAATATATCAGTTACAAAACTGGAATTAACCATATGATTGATGGAGTAAATTAAAATTTACAATTTTAACTCAGAACAACAACCTACTTACTAACATTAACTTCATGTTTTTTCTTAAAATTAGGGGCAATATCAATTGTAACATCCTCTTCCAAATTTTGTACACAAATAAAAAATAAAGATCGGATTTATTATTCATTAAGATTGTGTGATAGTCAACTGTTTATCCAAAGATTGATTATTAAGATGAATTTCTAGGCTAAGACAGTACATCTTGGTTAATGGTTGGATGAAACCAGCCTGAAGTTATTGCTTTGATAGTTGTTATAGCTTCCAAACCACCACCACCACCAACACAATGCCTAATCATTGACTGTAAAAGAGAGAAACTACAATGATAAGCTTCAAGATCAAATAGAGGAAGTTGTTAGAGTTCTAAAATATTTAAAAGCAAATAAATTTCGATTTATCCAATCATTATCTCTTTGAAGGCTGCAACTCAAAATCATCCAGAAACTCAGGATATACTTTGAAATCATCCTTTGATAAGCTATCATTCTGCAGTGATTCCTGTAGAAAATGGAAACTATTAGTCGTGAAAGTCATTTTAGAAAGAGAAGGAGGAGAAACATTATTAGTAGAAAGGTTTAGTTACTCTGGATCTTGACTTATTGGCATTGTAAACAACAATAAATATAAGCATTTCTTTATGTATTTTGAAAGCCAGTACTCGAAATTTTCTTGGTGAAATGAAAGATTTGAAGTTATACTTCTGCAAGATCCTCGACGAAGCTCTGAAGCTGACAAGTGAGAGATGAGACATGTTGTTGTAGAGATGACAAGTAACTTAACGTCACAAAACTCACCACAATGACAAACTTGTTGTTAGGATTCTCCTTCTTGAAAGTCTCTCTGAATTCAGACCTAAAACCATAGCAAAATCACAAGAATAGAAATCAGAAACGGATTCACCTTGAAAACTCGATAAATTGAATTTAAACTGATATCAACAAAAACAAAGTAAATCAAACGTTTTTCAGAATAAATGAAAGTAATGGGAAAGGTTTGAAAGACAGAAGAGTTGGAACATGGTATAACACGTATTTTGCAGTTTTGTAACTGCCATGTTTTGTGGAAAATTGAAAGTGAAGAACGTATTTTGAGAAAACAAATTGAAACATTTGGAATAACAGATTTTCTGAACTCTTACGAAGCCACGTGGCGGATTGTAAGAAAACAAGAGTGAGTTTTCTTATATGATATATTACTTATTAGTAATACATGTCTCTTTTTAACAATTTCTTTTGTTACTTTTTACATCACATTTAGTAATTTAAAATCATATTTTTTTTAATAAATACTTTTTTTTCATTAATTATCTTACTCTTTTTTTAATAATAAATTGGTTACTAAATATTTGAAAATTTATTTTTTATTTAAAAATGTTAAATTATATATATATATATATATATATATATATATATATATATATATATATATATATATATATATATATATATATATATATATATATATATATATATATATATATATATATATATATATGCGTGTGTATCATATAAGTAAATTGGGTGTTTTGAAAAGACCCAATTACTCTGCTGGCTCCACATCACGCCGCGTATTTTATTTTCAAACTATCAACTACACCTCTTCTTTTTACCAAAACATAAAGATACATTTAAAAAAAAAAACTTTTGCTTCCTCTTAAAACTTTTGTTTAAGGACTAATCATCTTAGGAGGAAGATGACGTCCAACACACTTTTAAACAAGAGATCTTTCATAAACACGCATTCACCATTTTATGGTGGTATGTTTGAAATATGGAAAGCTAGATTTAGAATTTTCATTCAAAGCATTAATTTATAATTGTGGAAAACTTTAATCAATGATTCATTTATCACTACTCACCAAGTAAATGGTAAAGTAGTAGATAAACCCGATTTCCTTTAGACCAAAGAGGAAAAGCGAAATTTTGAAATAAATTTCAAAACCAGGAATTTATAGTAACGTCTCGAGATGATAGTAAATTATTGTATGCTCACAATTGCAAAACCACCAAGGAAATGTGGGATATTCAAGAATTTATAAACGTTTGTCACTAACCAATACCTAAGAGTTAAGAATTGGAAGTTTAGACCAATCCTTAAATTGAAAGATGTGAGCCTTCATAAATTTTAGGAAATATCAAAGAAGAAGGAAATCATAGAGAAATTGAATGAACTAGTTCAATTACTTAAAGACGAAGGAGCAAGCTCAAAAACTGAAGAATCAATAACTTCATCAACCTCATATCAAACAACTTCAATTGCTTCCTTCGAAATAACATACTCAGTAGTTGAACGATCTTCACAAGATTCAACATTGAATAAAGGAACCTCATGTGTAAGAAGCTATGAAGAAGAAGTATCTTTTAGTGAAATATTTGAAATAATAAAAGGGGAAGATACATCAACCTCGGGGAAAAACATAGAAGAATCTTCTTCCAACGAAAAAGATGAAGTTTTCTTAAAGGCGTCCTACGAGAAAGATGGTTTTGAGGTAACTAAATCATCCTATAAACAAAATTTTAAAATTAATGCTAAGTTGGTGGTAAAAAAGACAAACTTAAAAAATGCAACTTCTAACTTAATGAGTATTATGGTTTCTTGAAAAAGTAATAAATCGCTTAAATTAGAAATAACCAATATTAGAAACTCAAGAGAAACATGTGACACTTGTGTCTCGTTGAAAAAGAAAGTAATTGAATTGCATGAAACCCTGAGTAAATTTACCAAAGGAAAAGAAAACTTTGACTTGATCCTATCAAGTCAAAGACCTTCCTTAAATAAAAATGGATTATGATTCAAATAAGATAGAAAACCTAGTAAAGATTCAGATCATAAGAAAAAGAACCATCCAGTTTATAAATACACACAATGCAAAAGATTTAGCCATTTAGAGCCATTTTGTTTTGACAAATTGAAAAGGTCTAAAGGTAATAATCATATACCTTTTGGAAAAACTAATGCACATGGACCCAAGAAAATTTGGGTGCCAAAGATAAAACCTTAATGTTTTGCAGGTATACTTTCCAGCTCGATGTCTTAGCTAACATTAAATAAAGTTGTGCAAAGCAAGAAGAATATTCTTAAGTATACAATAATTTAAGTCTTTGATCCAAGAATGTATGATGATGGTGAAAATCAACGACATTACTCCATATGATCCATCTGATTCATCCATCAAATTATGCAATGATGACATTGCTCCTTGTAAAGATATTCCATCATATGAAAAACTCATTGGAAAATTGATCTATCTCAATACCAACAGACCAAAAATTACATATATTACTCAACAATTGAGACAATACTTGGCCAAGCCTTTAGTGATTCATTACAATGATGTCTGCAGAGTTCTAAAGTATCACAAACATTGTCTTGCTCATGATCTATTCTTTCCAAGGAATTCATCATTTTAATTTCTTGGGTATTTAGATGTTGATTGGGATGAATGTGTTGGTATTAAAAGGTCAATGCCAAGATCTTGTTCCTTCATTGGTTATGTCTTATCTCGTGGAGAACCAAGAAATAAAGCATTGTATCTCGTTCATCCTTAAAAGCTGAATACAAAGCTTTAGCCGCAACCATATGTAAGCTTCTATTGATATTGCACTTGTTGTGTGATTTGCAAGTTATCTTCATTAAGCCTCCAGTTTTGTATTGTAGCAACTAAAGTGTTTTGCACATAAATATTAATCCATATTCTATGAAAGGACCAAACATCTCGAAATAGATTGCCATATTGTTAGAAAAAGTTTTCAAAATGGAGTGATGAAGTTGCTTCATGTTTCCGCCTACATTCGAATTGTTGATTTCTTCACTAAGTATCTCTTGCCTAAATTATTATCTTTTAGTATGTTCTAGTTGAACTCAAGTCTATTACTAAATGAGAAAGAAGAAGTTAACAATTAGTTCTTAGCTATACAGCTAGTTATAATTCTGTTATTGTTAGTTATTTGTCATGTATGTAACAATTATCTAGAGCTTAGGTAGTTGGTTTGGGTGATCACTCATAACTTGTATGTAAACTCTTAACTGAATTGCATCAATGTAAGAGAGGTTGGTCTTCCATTTTCTATTAAGTGTTTAAGTTCATGATGAAGTCTTTAATTCAAGATTGCTAATAAATAGATTGAATTTCTACTCTATATTTTTGTCATACTTCTTGATAAATTTCAATTTTCGTTAAAAATGAAACATCTCTAAACATAAAGATTACTAACATTCTATGAATTTCTAAACATAATACAAGAGACCAAAATTTGGATTCTCTCCGGTCAAGTTTTCACCGAAGATAGTAAAGTGTTGATCTCTTCCGTTTAATTTTTTTTTAGTAATTAATTAATATAAAATAAAATAAATAAATAGTTTCACTTAAACACGTTTCCACGGACGAGATCATTTTTCAAGAGACCAATATCTATTCCTATGTTATGGTAAAATATTATTAAAAATTAGATATAATTGACTGGTATATGAATAATGGAAGTAAATAAATGTGATTAGTTCAAAGTTAACTTTCGTCCCATACTTTTCCACCCAAATTTTGAGTAGAAGCTTCACAATCACATAAAAAATATGAATCTTTCGGAAGAAAAAAAATTCTTCCAAAGTTTAGTTACACGTCCTTTTCTATATCCGGCGTCACTTTGTCCCTACTTTTGCTCATTTTTTCTCAAGTTGAAAGACAAGGACCTATCACACAAAACAAGAATAAAACAAATTGATGAGGATAATTTTAACTTCAAAAAAATAGTGGGACTTAATTGTTATGAAAATTTTATCGAATACTATACATAATTTTAAGAACAAATAAGACATTTATTGTTTTGAACTATTTGTGAACAATAAAACACAACAGAGAATCTAGTGCGAACACAACATAAAAAAATAAAGTTTGAATAATGTAAATTAAAATTTAAAAAGAATAATAATTTATAATAAATGTGTGAAACTAATTTAAATATGAAAAAAAGTGATTAATGCCAAAAACTTGTTAAATTTTTTTTATTCAACGTATACTTTATCAAAAGTTAGAAACTCTAGTTGAAATAAAGAGATTGCTTTAAAAATTTGACTTTAAAAAAAAGAAGTATTTTAAAGTATAAGACAATGATGAAATTTGCATTCAGTTTAATATTATGGGTTTTTCAGTTTGATTTGGACATGAACATTTCTCTGCATCCGCGTTCCCAATTCTAAATAGGACAAATTGTGGAATTATATTTTTTATTATAGATGAGACTTAATCATATAATATATAATTTTAGGTTTTAGATATACAAATTTTAATTAAAAATATTACTTAATCAATAAAAAGCGTACTTATGCATCCAACATAATTATAATTAATCTGTTTTTTAAAAACTAAAATAACAATTAATTGCAATTACCGTCTACAAAATATTAAATAAATTTAACATTAAATGAAAAATATGTCGATAAGAACTCCTTAGTGCAGTAGTACTCTTATATAAACTTTGCACTCCAAACCTATTCATCATTTGTCGCCTTGTCTCAAAATGGATTTAGTAGAATAGAGGTTTCACCATGAAAAACTTTGAGTATGTAATTCTTTTATGTGAAAATTCATCATCTTTTTCAAATTCATCAATCAACATGAAAGATATAAAAATGTGTTTATAAAGTATGTAGGAATAAAACCAATTCATTGTCTTTTTCAATTTCATCAATCAACATAAAGATATAAAAATGTGTTTATGAAATATGTAGGAATAAAACCAATTCATCATCTTTTTCAATTTCATCAATCAACGTGAAAGATATAAAAATGTGTTTATGTATGTAGGAATAAAACCAATTCATCATCTTTTGATTGACGCTAAATTTGATAGGTAGGACCGCAATTTGATCATCGCAACTGCGATCGAGAAGGAGTAATTTTCTCCCAGCTTTTAATAGAGATTGTTACTCCATAAATAAATCTTCATTCATACTATGCCTTTAATTAATTGTGGTTTTCTTGCTCCTACAAATCAGAAAAGGAATTCTCAAATACTTCCCCCTAGTACCAAGGACAACTTAAACACTAAAGATACTACCAATGGAGTCTATCAAGTTGGCAAGTTCTGAGACTACATAAGATTTTAGTTTTTTAAAGTTGATTGTATGTTTTGATGCGGCTTCATAGGTTCAAGAATATTCGAAATAAGTGCCTTATTCATCAGCTTGAGAGTAGAGGGAAAATACACGTTTCTAACCAATTACAACAATCTTGAAACATCTCTCAGACCACATATACATGCAAAAAATATTGGTAAAATTCTGGGTTAAAACCATCGAGCCGTTGACATTTATCGAACACCACGGAAAACAGAACTACCTAAAATAACTTAATGAGATTGGCATTGTCTTTGGTAGAAATATATAACTAATAACATATGTGACATGGGGATGATATTGTTCTACTTTTGGAAAAAAATAGCGAAATATTCAACGGGGCATTATGCAAGTCAAGTGTTGCAGTGTACCTTATAATTTATGCTAGTTTTAAATTACTTTCTTTTGCCTACAAAGGTAGGTAAAAAAAATCAAATTGAACTTCTATCGCTCGGAAGCTCCAATTTTCTTTAAGGTTTTATTAAAAAAAGAATAAAATAACATCATTACCCCTTATTCAAACATTAAAACTATCATGATATACTAGAATCCAATTGCTTTCATTTATGATAACTTTATTACAAAGTTGTTAAAAAAACTTATTAAACTAAATGAAACTGAAGGAAATAATCAATTACAATAAATCCAATGTGCATAATATATACTAGCAATTATTTGAGGCTTATTTCTTCCCATGCTTTGTTTCTTCCTCCGTCTTCCAATTCACCAAGAGTTGGAGAAATTTCATAACCTGCATGAAATGCAATTATAATTAGTTATTATAATTATACTTTTTCTTAGTTCACTCTTAGACAACCACAAGACTATTATTATTATGATTAGAACAAGACATGGAAATAGTGTTGGAATTTATACCTCATTGGTGTCTCTGAGAGAGTAAAAAGCATTGCTTTCTTTTCCCACTGATGAAACCAATATCCCATAACCTAGATTACTCTCCCTCAGTACCTTAAATGCATCTTCATCAGTTTTATCATCTCCAATATATATGGGAAGTACATCATTTCTATCAGTTAACCCTGCACATAACAATATTTTACTTGTAATGCAAGGTATATAAATATAATGCATATTAAGAGGAAAAGAGAGAGGTTCTTACCTAGTGATTCAAGTAAAAATTCAACAGCTTTTCCTTTGTTCCAGTCAATTACAGGGCGAATTTCTAAAACCTATCACAGCATAGGTAAGTACACTATAAGAGCATGAACAGACTTGAGTAACAAGTTACTAAAAAATGAAAAGTTCAAAAGTGATGAATAGAACAGATTCTATATATATATATATAT